CTTATTTTCAAAGGTAATATATGATTAGTAAGCAAGTTAAATTTGTAGATTTTATTTGATAAGTTGAAATTTGTCTGTTAACCTCTGTGGGACATTTTAGAAAGTTGTCTGAAAACTCTTAACTTGCTTTTACACTGACTTGTATTATTGATAATTTTACTTCAGTATAATTTTATGCCTCTAATGCTGATAATACTGTGTAGTATGCAGTCTGTAACAATGATTTGAACCCACAAACATATGAGCAAAACAATTAATACTCTCTTGCTTGTCACTTAAACAGTGGTTATAAGCAGTCAACCCACTGTACAGTTTCATAAGATCGAAACAGATTTCAGTTCCATTTAAGAGGAAATTATTATGAAATACATACATGCCTTCGCTGCTGCATTTTGTGCTTTGTGGTTATGAACAGTGTGACTCTGCATTTTAAATACTGCTTTCTCCGGGTTTTTTTGTGTACTATACTGTTTCAAGGAATGTATATGTAGTTGCCAGAGTGCTACATCCCTGTTCAAAACAGTCCAAGAATTCATCCCCATGAAGGTGGCTTAGTAGAAAAACATCAGAGACAGTATTATATTGACCTTGAAACTTTAAGAGTGACCTGAAGGTGAAACATTTTAAATGACTTGTATCTGAAATAGCATGTACTGGTAGTACTTGGTTAATGATGGTAATTGGGACTGGGAACTCCATTGCTAAGCAATGAGGTCGTAAAGTGCAACGTCACATGACCATGCCGATTTACAACAGCAGTTCTGGTTGTTGTCATTAAGCAAATCCTGCATGGTTCTTAAGTGTGATGTCACGTGATTGCCATTTACAAGCTCCTGCCAGCTTCCCCATTGACTTTGCTTGTCAGAAGCTGGCAGTGAAGGTTGCAAATGGTGATCACGTGACTGTAGGAGGCTGCAACTATAGTAATTGCAAGCCGGTTGCCAAGCACCTGAATCGTGATCATGTGACTGCAGGATGCTGCAACAGACACAACTTTGAGGACCGTCGGTAAGTCGTCTTGTTCAGCACCATCGTAACTTTGAACGGTCACTGACAGAATGGTCATTAACTGAGGACTATCTGTATTTCAAGAAAGTGAGTCAAGCCACAAGAGCACAGGTTCAGTGTGCATGAAATGATTATACCGATACAGGATTTTCCTTTTAAAAAGTAGCTATTTTAGAGCTAGGAACATATCATAGCCTGTAATAGATCAATTCATGCTGCATTCTCTAACGTATGAATAGACATGTGGTTTGTGCAGTCAGATGTACACATAGGTCATTTCTCCAAATTCAAGTTGTTGGAGGCAAATAGAGATACTGTTTTCAGCACCTATAGCTTAATCCTTAGTGGCATTTCACTGCCAACTACTGCAGATAGACTGAAATTAGTTAACTGCAGACTTCATATATGGCAGTGGGGCTTAAGCTCTAAAAACCTTCCTTTGAATCTCTTGCTTATTGCTGCAAAACAATACAGTACCCATTTTTCTAAAGGCAGGCTACTTCATTTAGAGGAGATCTTGCCTCAGATCAATGTTTCTTCATTTGATTTACTACATGCACATCAAATGACTTTTTAATCCAGGCTTTCCATTAATTTTCTTCTAGTTTTTATCCTTGATAGAGAACAACAAAGTTAAGGAGTAGAAGACAGTAGAAATGGAAAAGGATAATATGAAAAATATAAATGATAATCTGGAAAAAGATATCTGGCCCAGCCAGCCAGCCAGCCAGCCAGCGGTACCCCTCCATCCATGTGTGCTAATATTGAAGTTCCAAAATACAAATAGTCATGCAGAATTACAAGTCAGTCATGGGATTGCAGGAACACAAACTATCAAATGTACTTCTTCCAACACTGAAATCTCAAAAGCTGACTCTGCTGCTTTATATTGCATGATTTATTTGGAAGAAGTCTAGAGTACTAGAAATGCCCTGGTTACAGAACCCAGCTAGCTTGCCACTCTGCATACTTTGTTTCAATTTCAATTATGTTTCAGTAAAACAAAACCTAGATCTAGGTTAGAATCAACTTTAGCTCTCAGTGTGGACCCATTCCTCTGCAAGATGGCTTGGTTTGTGATTTGGGGATTCTCCAGATTTGCAACTCCTGCTTGAACAGCAGGTCGAGGCCATGACTAGGAGAGCCTTTGCCCATCTTCACTGGTACAGCAAATGCAGCTGTTCCTGGAGAGGATGTCGTGTCAGTCATTCATGCCCTTGTCACCTCATGGTTGGATTAATGTACTTGTGTCTACCTCCGAAGACTACTTGGCAATTGGTTCAAAATGCTGGTTTAGCAGGGTAATATCAGTATTGTGGGAGCTACGTTTGCTGCTAGTAGTTTCTGGGTACAATTTCAAAGAGTTGCCATAAAGCCATTAAAACTTTTATGGCTCAGATTCTTGTTTCCTCTCCATGTAGCATCTTCCTATCCTGTGCATTCTGTGCAGCAAGAGATGCTGCTCATTCATTCCTCCAACTGGTCGGGAGGGCAGCAGCAGAAAAGCAAGCCTTTTTGGTGGTTGTCCAGCCTTACAAAATTCTT